GAGGAAGGTCAGTATGACCAGACGGTCTACCGCGGCCGTAGCTCCTGCTGGGGTGAGGGACGAGCTGAGGGGGCGGAGTACCGGTTACCAGCGGCGTCTTCCAGACGAGCCTTCTCGATCTGGGCGATGGCGTGGGCAGGGAGAGGATGGGGCGTGGGCAGCAGGTCAGACTGTACCTGGTAACCTGCACGTCGGCCACGAAGGAGAACACTCCTGGAGTACCGTCGAGGAAGGTGAACCTGGAATGGAAGGACTTGTTTACCTCAAGTACCGCCCTCACTCTCACATAATTAACCATCAACTATATTCACTACAACTCTTTTATAATATTTTGTAACACCAGTGAGAGTAACAACCAAATATTAACCTGAACCAGAATATTATACAGTGACAATACCGACCATCCTCCCTGAGACGCCACGGCGCCAGTCTCCCCTGGGGCGCCCTGCTCATGACGACTGATGCCGTCACCAGTCTCGAACTCGAAGTTGTGAGTTGCCGAACTCATCAGGTCCCTGACGCTCGTCCTTCAGGATGGGGACTACAGGACCTGAGGGCGATTGTAGGTGGTGGGGCGCCCCGTGCCTCCTCTGGGGCGTCGTGGCCACCACAGCCACTAAGACACGACCAACTTCGAAAAGACGGTTTATTTATAGTCGTGAGCTCCTTAAGTTACTCATGCATCGAATGCATGTGTTCAGTGTTGTCAGGTGATCTGTATGTCACTTTGTACCTGCAATAATTAACACTATAGTTGTTTACCTTGTTCTTCTTATAATATTCTAGGTACTATAATAATGAACAACTATGTAGTTCATCATTGCAGGTACACCAGAGCTCTTTGATCACCGTATATACAGGAAAGATAAAACATTAAGAGATATCTCGGACGGAATAAACATGAGTCATCAGCTCGGTATCAACCTGTCACCCCAGCACCTGTGTTCAGCCTCCCCCATCATCATCTCCAAACTTCCTAATTCTACCTGACTTAACCTTTTCATAAATACATGTCACCAAACACAACAATAATCTTAACAAAGAGATAATGAGAGAGAGAGGAAGACAAGTATAGTGTTATCAAGAGGAAAGAGAGTACTACTGTGTACATGGTGGTGAGTTAACAGCAACAAGTGTAGGGAAGAGACCACCGAAGACCACTTATATACTCCCACCTGACCTCCCCACCCTGACCTCCCCCACCTGACCCTCCACCCCCAAGGTCACCAGCTTCACTATTGCTCTGGATAATGTCATCACAAAATTATATGTACATATCCCCTCACTTTGAACCTCTCACCTGTAATGAACCTCTCCCTCACCTGTCATGAACCACTCCCTCACCTTTCCATGTACCACTCCCTCACCTGCCCTTGCCCTTTACTTCTCACCCTGTGTACAACTCCCTCACTGAACCTCTCCCTCCACTTGAGCCTCCCTCACCTGCCATGAACCCCTCCCTCACCTGTCATGCTCCCTCCCTCACCTGGGTCATAGCCACTCCCTCACCCTGGTCACTTCCCTCCTCACCTGTATGAACCACTCCTCACCTGTCATAGACCTCTCCCTCACCTGTCTTCTTCCCTCCCTCACCTGTCCTTGAACCTCTCCCCTCACCTGTCATGAACCCTCCCTCACCTGTCCTTAGACCTCTCCCTCACTTGAACCTCCCTCACCTGTCATGAACCCTCCTCACCTGTCATGAACCTCCCTCCCTTGAACCTCCCTCACCTGTCATGAACCACTCCTCACCTGTCATGAACCTCCCTCACCTGTCATGAACCACTCCCTCACCTGTCATGTACCACTCCCTCACCTGGTCATGTACCACTCCCTCACCTGATCATGTACCACTCCCTCACCTGTCATGAACCACTCCCTCACCTGTCATGTACCACTCCCTCACCTGTCATGAACCACTCCCTCACCTGTCAGCCACTTGAACAACACCCGTTATGTCATTACAACGCAAAAGATTGCTTTGTTGTTGTTGTTGTTGTTGCTGTTGTTGTTGTTTTCTGTTGTTGTTGCGATTGTTGTTGTTGTTGTTGTTGTTGTTGTTGTTGTTGTTGTTGATGTTGATCTTTTTGTTGTTGTTTATCCTCATTGTTGTTGTTATTACACCTGTTGCCCAATTAACTTCATACTTACACCCATCGTAAAAAATAAATAAGTTCTGTAAACAAGGAGACCATTGGTGATTATTGTGACCATAATGACTCTAACTGCGTTGTTTGGCTACACACACGCTTATATACACACACATACATATATATATACACACATACATATATATATATATATATATATATATATATATATATATATACATATATATATACACACATACATATACTGTACATTCACACACACATACCATATATTCACAAACATAATACACGTACATACGAGCGTGTACATACATGTAGCACATATATACACACACACACACACACACACACACACACACACACACACACACACGCACACACACACACACACACACACACACACACACACCACACACACACACACACACACACACACACACACACACACACACACACACACACACACACACACACACATACACACACACACACACACACACACACAAGTTATTGCTCCAGGAATTCCTTACAGTTAGATGTATTATGATGTGAATGATGGAAGTCGACAAGTAGTGATAGTTGAAGGTCACGATGAGCGCTGACTGGACAGTGGAAAGCGTTGACGGTGACGATGTTGAAGGTGACGATGAGCGCTGACAGTGACGATGAAGCGCTGACAGTGACGATGAAGCACTGACAGTGACGATGAAGCGCTGACAGTGACGATGAAGCGCTGACGGTGACGACGGAGCGCTGACAGTGACGACATAGCTCTAACAGTGACAACATAGCTCTAACAGTGACGACATATCTCTAACAGTGACGACATAGCTCTAACAGTGACGACATAACTCTAACAGTGACGTCATAGCTCTAACAGTGACGAAATAGCTCTAACAGTGACGACATAGCTCTAACAGTGACGACATACAGTAACGACTCTAACAGTGACGACATAGCTCTAACAGTGACGACATAGCGCTAACAGTGACGACATAGCTCTAACAGTGACGACATAGCTCTAACAGTGACGACATAGCTCTAACAGTGACGAAATAGCTCTAACAGTGACGACATAGCTCTAACAGTGACGACATAGCTCTAACAGTGACGACATAGCTCTAACAGTGACGACATAGCTCTAACAGTGACGACATAACTCTAACAGTGACGACATAGCTCTAACAGTGACGACATAACTCTAACAGTGACGACATAGCTCTAACAGTGACGACAATAGATAGCAGTGACTTCAGAACGCAAAACTAACATGCAGTAAAATTAATACACACCCAAAAATGGATAAATAATGTAAATATAATAATGAATGATAGAAATAAAACGAATAATAACAAATGAATGAAGGAATAAATGATAGAAGAATGATATTGAATGATTGATATGAAAGAATGATATCATGAGTTCGATAAATATATAAAAAATTCAAATGATACAATAACATTCATGGATTGACGCGAAATAAGAATGACGCTTAGGTAATCATTCTACTCGCGTGTTTGTTACGTGGTCAAGTAGTTCTTCCAAGTACCGTGACAAGGAGGAGGTGGAAGAACAAGGTGGAGTTTCTCATTCCTATAAAAAGTAGAATGTTCATTACTCGTGTTCCTGACCCGCCATTAATAACATTCACATACTGTCAGCAAATGTTGTCACTGGTGAATGTTTGTGGATGTTGTAAGATTACTTGTTATGTATTTTAGGTTCAGTACACAGGTGTTCGTCAGGTGAACTGTTGTACTGTACACTCGCAACAAAAAGTATCGGTGCATACTGTAGTGTGAACAATTTGAGACCTGTGACGATAGGTATTGGGAAAGGCGAGTTGTTCCAGCCGTATGTTGGCAGCCCTGTAATCCTGCTGAGCAGCTACTATGGCCTGGTCAAGTGAAACAAACTGTTATAAATAGACAGTATGAAATATGAGGAGCTCCCTGTTAACAAAATTATTTGTGATACTTGTGAATATTGCCACATTAATTTATGTTACCAAATAAAGCACTCAACCTGGTCGTCCTGAGGGGTGGTGCAGCGTGGACGGCCGCTCCGAGACCTGTCGTCTGTAGCACCAGTTTCGAGGTATCGCCGAATCCATCGTGCAGCGGTGTTCCTGTGGACACCAGCCCGCCGGCTAATATCTGTGACGCCGAACCCTTCGTTATGAAGGGCAATAATAGCTCCTCGTGTTCCCTCTGAGGTTTCCATGTCGTCTGGCATGTGTACAGTAGATCTCTACGGCTTCATATTGCCTCTGTTTTATACCCACGTTCACCGAGACCGAACCCTCGCTCATCATTCAGTCGACACAAAGCAACAATCCGAAAAGAGGAAACAAACACACTGATTGTCAGCCATATGGCAACACCTAGTGGAGGGGTTATGAGGATACACTCACCAACCTTCCCGACACATCACAGTGTATACGTATCGTTTCGGAAGTCGTCGATCACATCCAGCACCGATACTTTTTGGTGCGAGTGTACCTGTTACTGTTGGTAAAATGTATGGTGTATAGGTGTAAATATATATTTTTTTTAATTGTTTGACGAGGAAAGAAAATGCTTTTGTTTCGTTTTTGTTTTACGATGAAATATAGTGTAATAACTTTTGTTTTTTGCTTCTGGTTATAATACTGGTAAGGTTTGTATCCAGTCTTAACGCGAGGCTGCCGGAATCATGGGTAAAAAATTACGTCTATTTCTTCCTATAGTAATTGTCATTTTTATCTCTTCAGTAATGAGGTTGATGTACCAACTTTCTGTGTTTCAGAATATTTATTTTTTTCCAAAGTAAATAGTTTGACAGATCAAGTGATGTCTAATATAAAATTATTGAATAATTTTAAGGAAGGTAACAATAAAAAATCTGCCATATATTGCTTCTTTTTTAGTCATTAAATACAAAATATTTACAGTCGTACGTTTTTAGTGTTCATCACAAAACAAAACATCAGTAAGTTAACGAAAGACGAGACGAATACGTCCAAGAATTAAACAACGTCACATTGCGTCACGCAGCGTCACCAAGACCAGTGCGTTATGTTACTGGTGGGTGAGGAAGGTCAGTATGACTCAGACATGGTCTACCGCCGGCCGTAGCTCCTGCTGGGGGTAGAGGGACGGGGAGCTGAGGGGGCGGAGTACCGGTTACCAGCGGCGTCTTCCAGACGAGCCTTCTCGATCTGGGCGATGGCGTGGGCGGGGAGAGGATGGGGCGTGGGCAGCAGGTCAGACTGTACCTGGTAACCTGCACCGTCGGCCACGAAGGAGAACACTCCTGGAGTACCGTCGGGGAAGGTGAACCTGGAATGGAAGGACTTGTTTACCTCAAGTACCGCCCTCACGCTCACATATGTAACCATCAACTATATTCACTACAACTCTTTTATAATATTTTGTAACACCAGTGAGAGTAACTTAACCAAATATTAACCTGAACCAGAATATTATACAGTGACAATACTCACGACCATCCTCCCTGAGACGCCACGGCGCCAGTCTCCCCCTGGGGGGCGCCCTGCTCATGACGACTGATGCCGTCACCAGTCTCGAACTCGAAGTTGTAGTTGCCGAACTCATCAGGTCCCTGACGCTCGTCCTTCAGGATGGGGACTACAGGACCTGAGGGAGCGTTGTAGGATGGTGGGGGCGCCCCATACCTCCTCTGGGGCGTCGCGGCCACCACAGCCACTAAGACACACACGACCAACTTCTGAAAGAACGAGTTTATTTATAGTCGTGAGCTCCTTAAGTGCCGGGTCATTTTACTCATGTAAGTAAGTAATACATGTGCTGTATATGATCAACATACTGTATAGTGTAGTGTGTGATGCTGGACACCATCATCCTGTGTGACCCCGTGTCTGTGTGAGGACCTCCCTAATATACCTCCACAGACTTTCTGTCTGCTGAACAAGTCTATAAGTTCTGAATATTTAGCTGACTTGACCTTATGATGGATAACATACACGATAGTGACCTTATATAACCAAAAGTATTGAGAGGCGAGAGGGAGACAAGTATAGTAATGGCAGGGGGAGAGAGAGAGAGAGAGAGAGACGTACAGTGTACATGATGGTGAGTTCACAGCAACAAGTGTAGGGAGGAGACCACCGAAGACCACTTATATACTCCCCACCTGACCTCCCCCACCTGACCTCCCCCGCCTGACCCTCACCTCACCACCAAGGTCACCAGCTTCACTCTTGCTCTGGATAATGTCTTCACAAACAAGTTCTCCCATTTCGGTACAAAGTTGTTTTTGTAAATTACTGTATCTAACTTTCCACGACATTTCATCACCTGGATGACGTAGTGTGGTGATAAGTACTCACCTGAACTTTCGAATGAAGGTAACGATGAGTTTTTTTTAATAATTTTTATCTCAACACTTACTTAATATTATATGACTATAACACTGAATTATTTATATAAGTCGTACGAATTTTTTTATTATTTTTAAAAAAGCAAAACTATTTACAGTAGTTGTTCTGTGTTTGTGTTATTATTACTGTTGTTGTTATAAGAACATAAGAAAATAAGGAGTCTGCAATAGGCCGGTTGGCCTGTGCATGGCAGCTCTTGTCGAGAGTTACTACCACTCTCTATCATCCATGAATCTATCTAGCCTCCTTTTGAAACTTTCCAGAGTTCCCGCACTTACTACAAAGTTGCTAAGCTTGTTCCACTCGTCGACCACCCTATTTGTGAACCAGTTTCTTCCTATCTCCCTCCTAAACCTAAACTTATCCAACTTGAATCCGTTGCTCCGAGTCCTATCCTGCTCGGATATTATAAGAACTTTATCTATATCCCCTTTATTGATTCCTTTCACCCACTTAAATACTTCTATCATATCTCCCCGCACTCTTCGTCTTTCTAGGGAATGCAAGTTAAGTTTCTTTAACCTATCCTGATATGGAAGGTTTCTAAGTCCCGGAATCATTTTTGTCATTCTTCGCTGCACCGACTCTAGTGAATTTATATCCATTCTATAATAGGGGCACCAGAACTGAACCGCATAATCGAGGTGCGGCCTGACTAGCGCAAGATATAGTTGCAATAAGACCTCTGAACTCTTGATACTTACACTTCTAGATATAAAACCCAATACTCTGTTTGCCTTATTTCGAACATTAACGCACTGTTTTCTAGGCCGTAGGTCCGGGCTTACAAGTACCCCTAGGTCTCTTTCACAAGTCGACTTCTCTAGGTTGATGTTGTTAAGGCTGTATACCTTCACAGTTAATAGACCACCACTATCACCACCATTCACTGCTCTAACTCAACCTCCTTAACAAAGACACACTAACTCATTCATGTATTCATATATATATAAGCTTCCTCTACTACTCGCAGTCAGGTTAGTAGAAAATTAATGACCTAAGTAATGAAGGTAGGCAATAATACTTAGAGGTCACGTATCTACTTACCAATTCCCACTGGCTAAGGTCTGACAATGTGGGTGTAATTAGAGGTCAGCTATTATTAGGTTAGGTTAGGTTAGGTTAGGAGTAAATAGGGTTTGTAGTTATTAATAGATTATCATTCTTGTCAATAAAAATTATATGTCGTTAATGCTCACAAAATCGATCGACAAGCTCACGGGAATTAAAAACAAACAAAAACATTAAAATATTCGCTTGTTGAAGTTTATAGGATCGTGTGTTTAATAAGTTACGAAATTTTGTACCAGAGTTGTGTGGTTGGTGAAGCACGCAGCCAGTAGTTATGGTAATGGTAGGTCCAATCAGTCCCTAAATCACAGGTAAATCAGGTGACGTACGTAGCCAGTAGTTATGGTAATGGTAGGTCCAATCAGTCCCTAAATCACAGGTAAATCAACACAGGTAAATCAGGTGACGTACGTAGCCACTAGTTATGGTAATGGAAGGTCCAATCAGTCCCCCCAAAATCACAGGTAAATCAACTTAATTAACCTTAATACAGTTATGTAGAAGGAACATTATCTAAAAAAAAGTTTCAAGTGATAGGTTAGGTCAGGTTAGGTCAGGTTAGGTTATAGGAATCAGAGGTTGAAATCACATGTACAGGTGTTGAGAAAGAAGGCACACACACACACACACACACACACACACACACACACACACACACACACACACACACACACACACACACACACACACATACTCACACACACACACACACACACACACACACACACACACACACACACACACACATACACACACACACACACACACACACACACACACACACACACACACACACACACACACACACACACACACACACACACACACACACACACACACACACACACACACACACACACATACACACACACACACACACACACACACACACACACACACACACACACACACACACATATCGCTTTAATTTGCCTTTGCTGGTGCTTAAGGTGTGTTTATTGTACATGTGCTTCATTTATGCGCTTGAATCTCATTTGTTTCACTCATGTGCTGCATGTTTTATTTATGTGCTTCACTCTCATGTTTCAGTCTCTTGAACTTCACTCTCATGTGTTTCAGTCATATGCTTCACTCATACACTTCACTCTAACATATTCTCGTGCTTCAGAGTCCCCTACTTATCGTAAAAACACAAACCAATTCACAAAACTTCCGACACAAACCATGAAAGATATATTCTTATCTTATCTCTGACCTGTCTGCAGTACGTGACGTGATAAGATCACTAGAGACTCTCACAGTAATCATAACTAACCAGAAAATTTCACCGTAAAATATCGTACTTCTTATTTTTCATTTTCTCGTTGACTGATACGATTCTTGTTCCTCGTTTAAATACCCAAACAATCCTGGGTATTTATTCACCTGAATCCAGAGTAATTAAGACAGGTAATAGCATTCGTTAACAGGTAAATTTTATAAAGGTAAATCTCAATATATCTTCAAGTTTTTTTAATTAAACATAAAATTAATTTGATTCTCTGTAAATAGCAAGTCATTCCTTAATAATTACCTGTATGTGAAGGAAAATTATTTAATGATTAGCTTACCTGTTTAATTATATCAAGAACATAATGTAGAATGTTACAGATTTTGTTACAGGTGACAGGAAGGAATGACGTAAGAGACTTGTTTACCTGAATACATATCATCGCTTGAGCCTCCACATAAGATATCTGGCTCAACATGACTCGTCCCCTCCTTCTCTCCTTCCCTCCCTCCTTCTCTCCTTACCTTCACTCCACACCTTTCTTACTGACAACAACAAATGAATAAACTTGATTTGTTCCGTGTTGTTGAAGACCTGATTATTGTAGTGTTTTTTTTTAATCTCTCTCTCTCTCTCTCTCTCTCTCTCTCTCTGCGAATTCCCTAACCACCAAAACATCTAAAACACACACACACACACACACACACACACACACACACACACACACACACACACACACACACACACACACACACACACACACACACACACACACGCACGCACATACACACACACACACACACACACACACAAGTTATTGCTCCAGAATTCCTTACAGTTAGATGTATTATGATGTGAATGATGGAAGTCGACAAGTAGTGATAGTTGAAGGTCACGATGAGCGCGCTGACAGTGACGATGAAGCACTGACAGTGACGATGAAGCGCTGACAGTGACGATGAAGCGCTGACGGTGACGACGAGCGCTGACAGTGACGACATAGCTCTAACAGTGACAACATAGCTCTAACAGTGACGACATAGCGCTAACAGTGACGACATAGCTCTAACAGTGACGACATAGCTCTAACAGTGACGACATAGCTCTAACAGTGACGAAATAGCTCTAACAGTGACGACATAGCTCTAACAGTGACGACATAGCTCTAACAGTGACGACATAGCTCTAACAGTGACGACATAGCTCTAACAGTGACGACATAACTCTAACAGTGACGACATAGCTCTAACAGTGACGACATAACTCTAACAGTGACGACATAGCTCTAACAGTGACGACAATAGATAGCAGTGACTTCAGAACGCAAAACTAACATGCAGTAAAATTAATACACACCCAAAAATGGATAAATAATGTAAATATAATAATGAATGATAGAAATAAAACGAATAATAACAAATGAATGAAGGAATAAATGATAGAAGAATGATATTGAATGATTGATATGAAAGAATGATATCATGAGTTCGATAAATATATAAAAAATTCAAATGATACAATAACATTCATGGATTGACGCGAAATAAGAATGACGCTTAGGTAATCATTCTACTCGCGTGTTTGTTACGTGGTCAAGTAGTTCTTCCAAGTACCGTGACAAGGAGGAGGTGGAAGAACAAGGTGGAGTTTCTCATTCCTATAAAAAGTAGAATGTTCATTACTCGTGTTCCTGACCCGCCATTAATAACATTCACATACTGTCAGCAAATGTTGTCACTGGTGAATGTTTGTGGATGTTGTAAGATTACTTGTTATGTATTTTAGGTTCAGTACACAGGTGTTCGTCAGGTGAACTGTTGTACTGTACACTCGCAACAAAAAGTATCGGTGCATACTGTAGTGTGAACAATTTGAGACCTGTGACGATAGGTATTGGGAAAGGCGAGTTGTTCCAGCCGTATGTTGGCAGCCCTGTAATCCTGCTGAGCAGCTACTATGGCCTGGTCAAGTGAAACAAACTGTTATAAATAGACAGTATGAAATATGAGGAGCTCCCTGTTAACAAAATTATTTGTGATACTTGTGAATATTGCCACATTAATTTATGTTACCAAATAAAGCACTCAACCTGGTCGTCCTGAGGGGTGGTGCAGCGTGGACGGCCGCTCCGAGACCTGTCGTCTGTAGCACCAGTTTCGAGGTATCGCCGAATCCATCGTGCAGCGGTGTTCCTGTGGACACCAGCCCGCCGGCTAATATCTGTGACGCCGAACCCTTCGTTATGAAGGGCAATAATAGCTCCTCGTGTTCCCTCTGAGGTTTCCATGTCGTCTGGCATGTGTACAGTAGATCTCTACGGCTTCATATTGCCTCTGTTTTATACCCACGTTCACCGAGACCGAACCCTCGCTCATCATTCAGTCGACACAAAGCAACA